CACCCAACACACACCGAGAACACACCCAACACACCAAACACACACCGAACACACCAACACACTGACAAAACACACTGAACACACCCAACACACACACCCAACACACACACACCCAACACCAACACACTGACAAAACACACTGAACACACCAACCAACACTCCGAACACACACCCAACACACACTGACAAAATACACCAACAAAACACACCATACACACCAACACACCAAACACAACACACCAAACACAACACACCAAACACAACACACCAAACACAACACACCAACACCAAACACAACACACCAAACACAACAACAAAATACACCAACACAACACACACACCAACCAAACACCACAACACACACATCAACCAAACACACTAACACAACACACAAAACACACCAACACAACACACCAAACACACCAACAAAACACACCAACACAACACACACACCAACCAAACACACCAACAAAACACACACACCAACAAAACACACCAACACAACACAACACACACACCAACCAAACACACACACCAACACAACACACCAAACACACCAACAAAACACACCAACACAACACACACGCCAACAAAACACCAACACAACACACCAAACCCACCAACCAAACACACCAACAAAACACCAAACACACCAACAAAACACACCAACACAACACACACACCAACAAAACACCAAACACACCAACAAAACACACCAACACAACACACACACCAACCAAACACCAACAAAACACACCATACACACCAACACAACACACACACCATACACACCAACACAACACACCAACAAAACACACCAAACACACCAACAAAACACACCAACACAACACACACACCAACACAACACACACACCAACCAAACACCAACAAAACACACCATCAAACCAACACAACACACACACCAACACAACACACACACCATACACACCAACACAACACACCAACAAAACACACCAAACACACCAACAAAACACACCAACACAACACACACACCAACCAAACACACCAACACACCAAACACACCAACAAAAGACACCATACACACCAACAAAACACACCAAACACACCAACCAAACACACCAACAAAAGACACCAAACACACCAACACACCAAACACACCAACACAAGACACCAAACACACCCCACAACAGACACCAAACACACCAAACACACCAACAAAACACACCAGCACACCAACAAAAGACACCGAACACACCAACACAACATCATCAGCAGAATCTGTTTTGTCTAATCTGGGCAACAGAACAGATTTGTGGCCATTTTCCATAATTTGGTGTTTCCTTCAGGAGAAGAGTCCACACACTCCACCAGAGACGAGAGTCATCAACGAAGCGAGATCATATCAATGCTTTATTGAAGAAAAGGCAAACGTTTTGGTCACATGACCTTTATCAATGCCATAATCTTAATTTATGAAGTCACATGGTTACATAGATCACATGATCAACCGAGCCAAGACTAATACATGATCCAAACACCGTGTCGGACAACATGCTAGAGGGAAGAGAGAGAAAAGAAATTTATATATATTAAATTGAAAAAATAGAAAAATAAACAAAAAATAGAAAAATAAAAGTTATGTATCATAACTTTTCCCCCCTTTTTTTCTAAATAATTAATATATATATTTATTTTTTTATTTATTATTATTTTTATTTATTTTAAAGATATATATATAAATATAATGTATTCTTTCTCTTTTTTCTCTCTCTTCCCTCTAGCATGCTGTCCGACACTGTGTTTGGATCATGTATTAGTCTTGGCTCGGTTGATCATGTGATCTATGTAACCATGTGACTTCATAAATTAAGGTTATGGCATTGATAAAGGTCATGTGACTGAAACGTTTGCCTTTTCTTCAGTAAAGCATTGATATGATCTCGTGTCGTCGATGACTCTCGTCTCTGGTGGAGTGTGTGGACTCTCTTGAACTGCCTCTACTTGGAGTGTGTTAGTCTACGCACCTCGTTTGGACTAATTAAAGGCGCTGTGAGTTCCTAACTATCCTTCAGGAAGTAGAAATGAAGGTTGTTGTGTCTCAGCTTGACGGCAGGTCGTTTTTCTGGGACGAGGCTCCAGCGGCCGAAGGAACCGTGTCTGGGATCGTCACCCTATTGGCTGCCGTTCATGCGCTTCAGCCTGTCACTCAAGAGGCTCCGCCCCCTCGCAATATATTCTTCACCTTCTTCCAAGGGGTCAGTGTTTCGTCATGTTCTTCAGCTCTGGTTTACACACTTTCTTGACTCATTATTTGATCAGCCTGGCAGAAGTGAAAGCGTTTTTATGCATAATTCATACAAGGTGCTTAAAGTACTTAACTTTGACTTTAAAGGTGCAGTGTGTAAGTTTTAGCAGCATCTAGTGGTGAGGTTGTGAATCGCACCCAACAGAAGTTACGGTGGCCGACAGGAAGTGATGTCATTGTCTGACACAGTAACAGTAGCCAGTTAAACAATGAGGTTTCTTTACAAAGATAAATTAATAAATTAGGTTTACTTGATTAATCAGTAAAACGATGTTATTGCTAATATTATTGTTACTTGTTCATCATTGTGTCAGTGTTTTATTCGCTGACTTTAGCAGCTTCTTATGAAGAACAACATAGTGAAGAAACGCGTTTGTCCGCTCAGGGCCACCGTAGAAACATGTGTGTGTAAGCGGACCCGCGGTGTGTGTAGAGAAACGCTCATTCTAAGCTAATAAACACATAACGGGTCATTATGTAAGATCTTTACACACCACTGAATAGTTATGTTTATGATATTGCATTTCTGTCAACAGATCCTCCTAAATATTACACACTGCACCTTTAAGGCCAGAAAATCCCTTGAAAACAGCCATATTTAAGAAGAAGTTCTTGAAAAGTGCTTGAATTATTGAAAGACAATATATTAAATTTATTTTTAATTTGATTGATAAAACAATCTTTTAACACAAAATTAACGCTGAGCCCGATATAGAGGCATGGCTATGAGTGTGATATTGCTCATATAAATATCCAAGTATGTGATACAACTTTCATTTTTCAGCTCAATCATATATTCATGTGAGAACAAATCAGTTTGAATGAGGAAAGCGATATCTCTGCCTTTTCTATTTACCTTTTTTAGAATTTTAAAGATAATAAAGAAAGATATAGTTTGATAAATGAGCTTTCTGATTGTAGTCCATGAAAGTCCTGTAATTTGATTTGACAGTGTCTGTACGAACCCTGATAATGGGATGTATTTATTATATAATAGTGCGCACTATAGAGTATACACAGCCCATGCCTATCCACACACTCACCGGCACAGGGGAGATATTGTAGAAGTATGATTTATGATATAACAGGTTTATCCAAGCGCTCTCTCTCTCAGGAAGCCTTCGACTACATCGGCAGCTCGAGGATGGTGTACGACATGCAGAGGAACGAGTTCGTGATCGACTTCGACAACGTTCACTCCATGCTGGAGATCGGGCAGGTACACACACACACACACACACACACACACACACACACACACACACACACACACACCTGAATGTTTATGCATGTAATGAATGTTGTGTATGTGTGTCGAGTTTAAACACACACACACACACACGGTTTCTTGTTTGTTTACAGGTTGGCCTGCGCAGTGGGCGGGAACTTTGGATGCACTCTGACCCCGTATCATTGAGAAACAGCAGTGTGAAGGACAAGGTGAGTGTCTCTCTCCCTCTCTCTCTCTCTCTCTCTCTTTCTCAATTCAATTTTCAATTTCAAATTAGCTTTATTAGCATGACTGTGTAACACAATGTTGCCAAAGCATCAACATATTATATATAAATAATAAAACAAACAAACAAACAAAACATATATGTATAGATCATGTCATATGTGATCCCTGGGCCAATCGGAATCTTAGTACTCTTTCTCTTGGCCAATCGGAATCTTAGCACTTGCGTCAGAATCGCCATTGGATGAGACACCTGGCTACCTCGCGAGTCTGATGGAAACTCATAACGTGAAGGAATCTTATGTGAAATTCGAGGTAAATCAAGCTTTTTTTGGAGCAAAAACAACAGCTAGTTGTTTGCTTGATTCAATTAACGTTAGCTACCGCTTTGTTGTGCTGCGCTCGTGAGAGAGAGAGAGCCGGTCGCGCGCGCACTCTCACTGTATTCAAACTGCCTTGCTCTCCCTCCATCGCGCATATTAAAGTCCCCGTGAACCGGAAGTTGCAAACGACTTTCCTCCAGTGTTGTGACGTATTTCCGAGAGAAACGGAATACTATATGAGGCAAAATGGTGGGCGTGGCTTTTTTCCCCAACTAGCACCTGATTGGATCTAGAAAAGTAGGTGTTGTCATTCAGCCTGTCTACTGTCAGTTGGAGGGGCGTGGTTACGGATGTTAAGCAGACGCCCAAACCGTCACACCTACGTCATCAGGGAAGGTCCTCCAACGCAGAGGGGAGGGGAAATTTCAGATTTTGATTAAAGATTACGAAGCCAAAAAAAATTTTTGTGTGGATTGACTTGCATGGATGAATTGTTCACCACAAAACGATCAATTTAGGCAAACAAAGTAAGTATGGTCAATTTTGAATTCATGGGGACTTTAATCAAAATCTATTGAGAATTGACACGATAGTAAAAGATCAAAAGACCAAAGTTTCACGTGGAGATTTTTTTCCTGAATTACCGCTGGGTGTGAATTGCAACCTACTAAAATTGCCCTATCCTCTCTGAAAAGCCTTCCGCACATTCAGCTGACATAAACCACATTTTCAATAAACAAAAAACCTATCCAGTGATTAAATGTTTTCTGTGTTGAGAGTTGAGACAAATCTTGTGCGATGTCCTGATCTGCTGGGATAATCACACAACGCGTGCCGTGTGTGTCAGCTAATGGCACGTCCGATTCGCGGACTAATGACTCATTTGAACCGATTTACTTTTATGAATGGTTAAAATAACTGATCTGTCCAACATCTGTCTCAACAAAAGAGATCTGAATCGGTTTATAACAAATCGATAACATCAAACTAGTTAATATTAACTATTCATAAACTGCACTTCTTAATCTTTATAAATAAATCGCATTTATTAATCTTTGGTAATGTTAATTTCACTATTTACTAGTAGCCTTATTACAATTAAAAGTTCTATTTGTTAACATTAGTTAGCCTAATGCACTGGGAAGTAATATGAACAAACAACGAACAGCTGTATTTTTATTAACAAAGTATAATAAATACAGTAACAAATGTATTGCTCATCATGGTTCATTTATATTTTACTGCCTTTTTTCTCCTTTGCCAATCCTATGATAATTATATATACAGTATGGTGTTCATCCAGAACAACATGTAACTGTGTAACCACACCCTAGCAACCGTTTAAAGCTACCTAGCAACCATATTGCAACATATAGAAGCCATATTGCAGCTCCACAACATCGGTAAGACATTGTTGTTGGCTCGTATACAATCATGTACAACATTGTAGCAACTATCCTAGCAACCGAGCGGCGAGTTTTGCCACTGCAAGCACCCTCCATACCCCCCCCCCCCCCCCCCCCCCCAACCACACTGCACTGTCACCACCCTTCATAACCCCCCCCCCCCCCCCCCCCCCCCCAACCACACTGCAATGTCACCACCCTTCATAACCCCCCCCCCCCCCCCCCCCCCCCAACCACACTGCAATGTCACCACCCTTCGTAACCCCCCCCCCCCAGGAACACTGTCACCTTTTTTACTCTGACGAGTTTGCAGGTCTCATACATAAAAAATAACAAACCTCCCTCTCTCTCTGTCTCCCTCTGTCTCTCTCTCTCCCTCTGTCTCTCTCTCTCCCTCTCTCTCTCTGTCTCCCTCTGTCTCTCTCTCTCCCTCTGTCTCTCTCTCTCCCTCTGTCTCTCTCTCTCCCTCTCTCTCTCTGTCTCCCTCTGTCTCTCTCTCTCCCTCTGTCTCTCTCTCTCCCTCTCTCTCTCTGTCTCCCTCTGTCTCTCTCTCTCCCTCTCTCTCTCTGTCTCCCTCTGTCTCTCTCTCTCCCTCTGTCTCTCTCTCTCCCTCTCTCTCTCTGTCTCCCTCTGTCAATTCAATTCAATTGAGCTTTATTGGCATGACTGTAAAATAGCACAATATTGCCAAAGCAGTAGTAATATATAAACATATATGTAGATACATAAAAGTGAACAATAAAAAAACATTTCCATATTATGCATAAATATATCTCAATAAATAAAATAACAAAAATATATACAATAACAAAAAAAAAGTACAGAGAGCAGTTTAATGGAGCAGAGGGTTCAGCCCTTCTCCCTCATATGATGGCAGGAGGACACATACTGCGCTGCCAGCTGAATACACTCTTCTTTCTCTCCCAATATATAAGACAGTTTGTTTATAAGGCTCTCTTGTTGGAATTGAGGTATAATCTGTGCTATTTGTGTAAAATAAGTGTCTCTGATGTTTTTGTACTTGCTGCACTCGGTGAGGAAGTGCAGCTCGTCCTCTACGGCCCCGTCAGCGCAGTGTGAACACAGTCTGAGCTCTCTCTCTCTCCAGCTCTGCTGGTGTCGGCCCGTCTCCACACACAGACTGTGGTCGCTAATGCGATACTTAGTCAGGAGCTTTCTCTGGCCATAGTTACTGATATCAGTCAGGTATGGTGCCAATTTATAATCTGACTTTATTTTGTGGAAATATTTTAATTTATTTAGTTGCGTGACCTTTATCTGCCAATCGTGTATGTATTCTTCTTTGGTTATTTTCCCTATTTCTTTTACTTTTGAGTGTCTAAATTGAATTGATGAATTGAGTTGGTGTTTTTCCACTAAATGTATCATGGGGTCACTATCTGTGTGTCCTGCCCTGTATCTGAGAGCGCAGTGATGGTAGCTCTCTGTCTGTGCGTCTGATAGATGAAACCAGAACTTTACGGCTCTCTTCTGGATTTCGGATAGGAGAGGGAATCTGCCTAATTCTGCCCGGCAACCCAGACTTGGAGCGTTTCTGTGAGTTCCCAGGATGTTCTTGCAGAACTCAAGGTGGAAAATTTCAGCGGGGGTTTTGTCCCAGGATTCGTAATTTAGTTTAAATTTGGGGCCCCAGATTTCACAGCCGTAAAGAAGGATGGGTTTGATGATGCTGTCAAAGATTTTCAGCCACAGTTTGATGGGTGGGTTAAATTTGAACAAGGGTTTTCTTATACTGTAATAGGCCCTACGTGCTTTATCAGTCAGATCTTTTATTGCAGTGTCAAATTTTCCAGAAGCTGAGATTGTCAGACCCAAATAATTATAGCAGGTGACATGATTAAGAATTGTTCCCCCAAGTGTAAATGTGTATTTTTTGTCAGTAAGGCGAGGTTTTTTCTGGAAGATCATGATTTTGGACTTGTCCATGTTGATGGGTAAGGCCCAGTCGCTGCTGTACTGGTCCAGAAGCGAGAGGCTGTGGTGCAGACCCTCTTCATGAGGAGACAGCAGCAGAAGATCATCAGCGTACAGGAGGCTTTTGATTTCTCTGTCCTCGAGGGTCAGACCAGGACAAGAGGACTTCTCAAGTGCTGAAGCCAATTCATTAATATAGATGTTAAAGAGAGTCGGGCTGAGGCTGCAGCCTTGACGGACTCCTTTAGTTTGACTGAAATAATCAGTACGTTTGTCATTAATCTTCACCCCGCACTTGTTCCCGTTGTAAATGTCCTTTATAATGTCATATGTCCTTCCTCCTATTCCACTTTGGATTAGTTTTAGGAAAAGTCCATTATGCCATACCGAATCAAAGGCTTTTTTAAAGTCAATGAAGCAGCCAAATATTTTGCCTTGTTTTGTTTGTTGGACGTGTTTTTGTATGAGTGTGTGGAGTGTGTAGATGTGGTTTGATGTTCTCTGTTTAGGCATAAATCCAATCTGAGAACTGTTAAGGATCTTGTGTTGTTGGAGGAACTGAACTAGCCTGTCGTTGATGATGGAGCAGAAGAGTTTGCCCAGGTTGCTGCCCACTGTGATGCCCCTGTAATTATTTGGGTCGTACTTCTCGCCCTGTTTAAAGATTGGGGTAATCAAATTTTCTTTCCATGTCTCAGGAAAGTGTCCTGCTTTTAATAAAAGATTGAATAATTTGAGAATTGCCTCTTTCAGTTTGGGGCTGCTGTGTTTCAGCATCTCATTTGATATTAAGTCCATGCCACAGGATTTTTTATTTTTTAGGGATTTTATCTTGTCTGTTAGTTCAATTAGTAATATGGGCTGGTCTAACTGGTTTAGCTGGTCTTTTACGGTGCGTTCCAGGTTATGGAGTTGGGAGGTCAGGTGTTTTTGGGTGAGGGTTGGTTCGTTTTGGGAATAGAGTTTTCCAAAATGTTCGGTCCAGATGTTTGGGTCATGGATGGGAATGTGTTTTGGTTCTTTTGATTTATCTAATTTTTTCCATAATTCCCAAAAAGAATTCTGATCTACTGCCTCCTCAATCTTATTAAGCTTTGATTTCATGTGATCCGCTTTTTTCTGTATTAGTATTGACTTGTATGTTTTGAGGGTTTGCTGATATTTGTCTCGTGTTTGTTGGTTTGCAGGGTCTCTGTGTTTTATATTTGATAATGATCTTAATTCTTTTCTTAATTTTTGGCACTCTTTATCAAACCAACCATCTTTAGCAGTTTCTTTCTTACATCTATAATTTTTTCTTTTTCTCAGGGCTTTTCTGACCACTGTAGAAAATATTTCGTTTAATTGGTGAGTTGCTAAATTGATAATTTTCTTCTCTTCACTAAATGGAGTAGATAGAAATGAAGCTATCATGTTCTGGACCCGGGTGCTGTGGAGCTGGGCTTCATACTGGGCAGGACTGTCTTTACCCCATATAAATGTGGAGGGGAGGGGGTGCAGTTTAACCTTCGGGTCTGAAGGCCGGAGATTCACGGATCTGTTCAGACTGAGGACTGTGTGACTGTGGTCTGATATCTCCCTTTGTCCTGCCGTTAACTATATACAGGCCCAGACTCTTGCAGAGCTGCAGGACTTGTTTTCCGTGCCTGTTTATCGTGTTGTCATAATTCTGACGTGCCTTCGTAAAGTGTTTCCCGTTGATATATATGTGAGTTGTTAATATATTTGTCTCCATCTGAGGTAATGTAATCCGCTTCCTTCCCCGTTCTAGCGTTCAGGTCCCCCATTAACAGAACCGACCCTAGAGCTTGAAAGTAAACGATCTCTGACTGTAGGGGTTGGGAAGATGTCTTCATTATAATAGGAGACTCGTATGGGGGGATGTATGTGGCACACAGGTACATGTCCTCATCTAAACACAGAAGCTCTTTTTGAAGTTTTAACCAAATGTGTGTTTTCCCTTTTTTCACAGGCTGAATATAATGCCACAGATGGTCTTTAAACCAAACTATGATTCCTCCTGAATCTCTTCCGTTTTAATATTAGGCTGTTTGATAGAAGGGATTCGTAGCTCTCTGTAGTTTGGAGGAGTGCAGATTTTGGAGTCTAAACGACACCATGTCTCAAGTAATATAATTATGTCTGAACTATATACAATATTTACAAAATCAGGGTTAGTAGTTTTCTCCCCAAAGGCAGAAGAGAACAATCCCTGAATGTTATAGCATGTTATTTTAAACGATGACATTGACGAATATTGGATTTACCAGAAAAATGTATGAAATTCATGACCCAATCATGTTTTAAAATATAGATTAATCAATTAGAAAGGTAAAATAGATGATATATAGAAGTATGGTGAGTCTGTCAATTTTACACATTGGATAAAAAATAAAAATTAAATTATAAAATAAAATAAAAAATAAAAATAAAAAAGTGATTAAGAAATAATGATCATTCTTGACAGACACACTATGAGTACTTAAGCTAACATATTGTCACATATAATCTTCAGCATGTGTTTGATCTGGATCAGGTCGGTGGTGTCGGCTCTACCTGTTCCTGCCACTACAGCGGCGTAGCTGTCCGTCTGTCGGACTGACTCGCGCTCAGGGGGGGTTTTCTGAGGGCGTTTCAGGGCTGACTCCTTGATGGTTTTTGCGAACAGTCTCATGCCCTCGCGATGGATGTGGATACGGTCATATAGATGCTCATGTGGTGATGCGCTGATGGTTGGCTATGTGAACGCTCGGCATTGAAGCACAGATGTTGGCTATCTCCGCGTTGATTGTGTTGATGATCCTTTGAGGGACGTCTCTGCGAGGTAGAAGGGGTTGAGATGATGACCTTGGCTCCGGGGTAGATCCTGCTGGCTGTTTTCACCACGTTGGACAGGGCTTTAGTGACGTCCACCCTCGGACTGAGGTCGTTTTGTTCCGGTGGAAGGATGATGTGTGACGGTGCACCCAGCACTCCCTCTTGCAGCAGTCAAAAGCAGGTCCAGAGTAGAGTGAGGACACCAGAACTTCTTCACGATCTGCCCGGAAACAGACGTCTGTGGTCAAGATGGTGGCCGTTGGAGTCACAGAGGATGACGATGTTGTCTTTACTCGCCTGATCTCTGCCGGTGCTCGTGGATGGTGTTGCAGTTGGTGGACGGTATGGTGTGGTGCTGCTGCTGACCTTCCTCTGAGGGGCTTGATGAGATTGTGGGGTTGCAGGAGTGAAGGAGCTCAGTGATGGTGTACTGACACCTACTACTGTCTCTCTCTCTCCCCTCTGTCTCTCTCTCTCGACCTCTGTCTCTCTGTCTCCCTCTGTCTCTCTCTCTCCCTCTGTCTCTCTGTCTCCCTCTGTCTCTCTCTCTCCCTCTGTCTCTCTGTCTCCCTCTGTCTCTCTCTCTCCCCTGTCTCTCTGTCTCCCTCTGTCTCTCTCCTCCTCTGGTCTCTCTCTCTCCCTCTGTCTCTCTCTCTCCCTCTGTCTCTCTGTCAATTCAATTCATTCAATCAAATTGCTTTATTGGCATGACTGTATATATTACAATATTGCCAAAGCTTGGAATACATAGGAAAATTATAAAGACATCAAAATACTTGAATATTATAACAAATCTCTCTTATAACATAAATTAAATTTAAATGTACAAATTAAATTAATTGTACAAGTGAACAGTGTAACAGAATAGAATATCTGTGAACATTTTGATACCACAGTGTTCACCTCTCTCTCTCATCTCTCTCTCAATTCAAATTGCTTTATTGGCATGACTGTATATATTACAATATTGCCAAAGCTTGGAATACATAGGAAAATTATAAAGACATCAAAATACTTGAATATTATAACATAAATCTCTCTTATAACATAAATTAAATTTAAATGTACAAATTAAATTAATTGTACAAGTGAACAGTGTAACAGATTAGAATATCTGTGAACATTTTGATACCACAGTGTTTTAACATACATAAACACACACACATTACTGAAGTCACTGTGGTGGGCAGTAGGGGAACACCCTGAGGTCACACACACACACACACACACACACACACACACACACACACACACACACACACACACACACACACACACACACACACACACATTCACCTGCTGTCTCTCAGGCTGTGGCACACACCACACGTATCTGGCAGCCAGTGTTGCGGTCTGTCCCCTCTCCTAGTAGGATCTTTATCTGTTCTACTTCAGTCATGGCTGTAAAGCCCTGTATTACGTTATTAAGTTTGTTAAAGTAGAGGTCTCTGACTGAGCTGTATCTGTGACAGTGAAGGAGGAAGTGTGTCTCTGTCTCGACCTCTCCTGTCCTACACTGAACACACACCCTTTGCTCTCGGGGTAACCAGCTCTTTCTGTGTCTGCCGGTCTCGATGGCGAGACTGTGTTCACTCAGCCTGTACTTGCTCAGGATCCGTCTCTGCTTGTGTCCTCTCACACTCTGGAGATATTCTTCCATTTCATAATTTGATTTCAGGATTTCGATAGAATTGTAATTTACTTTGTGTTTTGGTTTCCTGATCCCAATGGTCCAAATATGTATTTTTAGACTGTTTTGGATTCTGTCTCCCTCTGTCTCTCTCTCTCCCTCTGTCTCTCTCTCTCCCTCTCTCTCTCTGTCTCCCTCTGTCTCTCTCTCTCCCTCTCTCTCTCTGTCTCCCTCGTCTCTCTCTCTCCCTCTGTCTCTCTCTCCCTCTGTCTCTCTCTCTCCCTCTGTCTCTCTCTGTCTCCCCTCTGTCTCTCTCTGTCTCCCTCTGTCTCTCTCTCTCCCTCTGTCTCTCTCTCTCCCTCTCTCTCTCTCTGTCTCCCTCTGTCTCTCTCTCTCCCTCTCTCTCTCTGTCTCCCTCTGTCTCTCTCTCTCCCTCTGTCTCTCTCTCTCCCTCTGTCTCCTCTCTCTCCTCTCTCTCTGTCTCCCTCTGTCTCTCTCTCATTCCCTCTGTCCTCTCTCTCTCCCTCTCTCTCTCTGTCTCCCTCTGTCTCTCTCTCTCCCTCTGTCTCTCTCTCTCCCTCTGTCTCTCTCTCTCCCTCTCTCTCTCTGTCTCCCTCTGTCTCTCTCTCTCCTCCCTGTCTCTCCT